ATCAAAAAAATTTTATTTTTTTCAATGATTCAATTTTAAATATTAATTAACTCGAATACTACCAAATTGTACTGCTTGAACCACTGTGCGACAAAACAATGCACGTTTCGTGAGCCGCTGAAAAAAATTGCGCTCTCCGGCAGAGCAGAGGCAGAGCGAGAGCCAGCAGGCGAATCCGAAGACAAGAAGCAGGACGAAAAGTTGAACAAGAAAAAAATCATGATGAAACTGGACAGACGCTGCGTCGGCCCCAACCCCAGCCCCAGCCGCAGCCCCACTGCAGAGGCAGGGCGAGCCGAAGAAGCAGGAAGGGGGCGGGAAGGTGAAGGTGGGCCGGCTTCGACTTGGACTGAGAATGAAAGTGTACACGAGTCAATGGGGAGAGGACTTGTCTGAGTGTTGGTGCGGTGTGTGTGAGCTGCGGCCATTGTTGGGGGGTGTGGTGAGGGAGGAGGGGACTCGCACACACACAAACACACAGACAGAACGCGGGCAAAAAAATTTTTTCTTTGCGCTTCACTCAATTTCGATTTTTTTCTTTTATTTTGCCTCCCTTTCGCTCAGGCCAGCAGCAGCTCGGTTCCTTCGAAAAGTTCAAAGTTGCCAGCCCAGCGCCCAGTGCTCGCTCGCTCTCTCTCTCTCTCACTCACACACACTCAGACACATTGGCGACGTGCCGTGGGGCAAAAAAATGCTCAGAGAGCTGTGGCAGCAGCGGTGGCGGCAGCAGAGCAAAAGAAAAAAACAAAAAGAGAAAAAAGTAATTCTGCACAGAAAAATAAAAATTGTTTGCAAGAAAGAATGAAAGAAAAAATCGGAAAAAATGCAAGCCAAGTGGTTGCCGCCCGACAGAGATAGAGTGACAGAGAGGGAGAGAGAAAGGGAGAGTGGGGGTGATGGTTGGGCTGGGTGTGTGCCACCCCATTAACTGGTGTCCACCTCCGTCTCTGTCTTTGCCCGACTCTCTTGCTCTGGCTCTTTCTCTGTCTGTTTCTGTGTGTAAGTGTGTGTGTGTGTTTGTGTCAGTTTCAGCTGCTCACATAGTTGGCCAAAGATAAAGGTGCCGGTACGGTTGGCGCGGGCGCGGGCGCGGCGTCAGGGGGTGTGGGTGTCGTGCCCCAGCCACACATGCAATGAGGCCAAAACGTGGTAGAGCAGGAGAATGGTGGGGGCGAGGGCGGTACTCGGTGGCGACGCATTGGGAAGACCCTCAAGTGTTGGCATGCAGCAGCAAAAAAAATACATAGCAATAAATATAACCAAAGCACATGGCAGAGCAGACACATGCATGTGTCGCAAATAGTGAGGGGGGGCGGAGGGCTGGGGATGCGGGTGGCGGTGGCCTCAACACTAAATCATCTGTGCATGTATGCAATGTATGTGTGTGTGTGTGTGTCCACGTTGACCACGTTTGCTAAAAGCATTAAAGCAGCGCCAGCATTAATTAACGCTTAGCAAAAATCGAATCTAAGCTTAACCCCAAAAAAGTGCAAAAAAAATGCCAGCCAGGTGGCAACGCTGAGTGCTGCCAAAGGGCAAACAATATCCCAAAGAATAGAGTGGAATAGGGTGAGCCTGGCTTTAATTAATTAGCAAAAGAGCAAAGCCATATTTAGGGTGAACCTTGTTTAAATTTTTTTCTACACAATTTATGCAAAACGTGTGTGGTTCCTTGCGTAACGAAACAAAAAGTACATTTGTAAAACAAATTTTGGAACACATCAATGCACATCGTTCCGGAGACTCCAGTCCAGTGACCGGTCCCGTCCCGCATCTGAGGACCAGCAGCGCAGCCATACAACATTTTCAAGGCGAATCAGACGCGCCAAAAAAAATAAAGGGGCCACCGTACAAAAGCAAAAGCAAAAGCCGAAATACGCACCAAGCAAGATGACGACGACGACGACGACGTCACGCACACACATGCAGGCGACCCAACACACACTCTGACAGCGGACAGAGAAGTTGCGGTCGACAGCGACGCACAGCGGACAAGGAAAACACACAAAAGTACAAGGGCAAATACAACAACAAGAGGAACAACTGCGCGAAACAGAAAATAAAAATGGGCGAAAAAGTTGAATACATAAAGTGAGGGAGGAGGAGAATAAGGAGAAGGAGCCACGCGAAACTCCAAGAACATGTGCAGAAACAACGGCGACGACGACGACGACGGCGACTACAACGGCAACGAAAGAGATACAAACAACAAACACAGCCAGCGTCATCGTAGCTGTAGTCGTAAGGCCTCCAATCTCCCCCCACCCCCTCCACTGGCCCACAAACATCAGGAGAATGGGAAAGAGAACGAAAAAAAATCGGCAACTTGTGGAGGTTAAAGAGGGGTTTGGGGGCACAGAGTGAGAGAGAGAGAGACAGCGAGAGAGAGGAGAGGACCGAGTGGTGGGGCGCCCCACACAGATGGCCGGCAAAACTTTTGCAGCGAAAATATAAAAATGGAGCGCACGTCTGTGACAAAAACAACAAGCAAGGGAGAAGGAAGTGGGAGTGGGAGAAAGAGCAGGCAGCATGAATGGGAAGTCGTCTGCCAGTCGCCGCAAGAAGAAGAAGAAGCATTGCCATATGTGTGTGTGTTTGTGTGTGCGTGTGAGGTTGAGGGTGGTGGACCCCTGGACCAACCTTTGAGCCATTTTTTTTTTGCTCAGCAGCGACTTGAGTGCGAATTCAAGAGAGAAGAGAGTCAGCGTAGACACGTTCCATGCAGTGCCGCCGCCACCACTGTACCGCCGCTGTAATGGTTGGTGTCTCGGCTCAAATGGTTGCTGCTTAAATAAGCTAATGTTAGCACTTAACAGCGGTACGGAAATTATGTTAATTGTGGCCAGAACGCCATGAAAGGCAAGTCCTTCAATCTCAATTAACATGGTCAAGAGAAATGTACTCTGTATGGTATAGGAACAACCTATGCGCCCACATAAACGGATATCCAAATCTTTAACCCTTGACGAATTTTATGTATATTAAATCTGTTAAGCTAAGACTTTAACCGATCGATATTACACGTGTCTATGGAATTGCCATATGGAAAATAATCACAAGAACTGCCATATGGCCAGAGCGACAAGTGATAAAGCCGATTTGTAGCGGAGAGAATGGGAGAGTAAGCTGAATATGTGTTTCTATATGTTCTATACAGAACCTTTTTATCTGCAGGCAAATAAACCACCAAAATCGGTTCACTATACCTTTCACTCGACAAAACCTCGATTTGTTCCCCTGTAAAAACCAAACAATAACTCAACAAGCTTTAATTTAATGTCTGCTTTTATAGTATACCTCATAAATTGTATGAAAATCGGAAAAACGGGAAAAGTTAAAGATTGTTCTTCTTGATTGTTTTGTTTACATTGAAGTTGAGACCTCTCGAGAAGGAGAAATCGATCGATCGCCCTGCCCTCCCTGCCCTTGAGCATGCCCCCGTCTGGAATTCAATATCAGTATGTTCCATATTCCATATGGGGTGTATATATGTATCATCTACTCTTAATATAGAGGTGGGTATGGAGGAATCTGCCCCCCTCCCACTAGCGGCAATAGTTAATGAAGCGCACAACACAAATGACAATTAGAATGGGGCGTTCCTCGTCAAATGCAAAGCCCCAAAGCGAGGCATCGACGAGCACAGGTCCCAGTGGGGGTAGGGGTGGGGTAGGGTAGCTATAAGCAAACTGGGGCCAGAGAGAGAGCGAGAGAGAGAGAGTGGTGCCTCCCCACTCCGATAAAAACGACCCTGACAATAATTTCTCCCTCTCTCTAGTATTTTTGTGCTCAATTTAAACAAGAACAATATTTCCGAGGCTGTTTGCTAGCCTGATGTTTGTTGACAAACCGATTAGGAGGCGGTAATTGTGTGTACAGTGCGTTTCGCGTGTGTCAAGCCGGATAAATGGTTTTTAGTTTTAGAGAAGATTTCGGTATTTCATCTAATTATATCATTGGATAATCGGATATTCGAAGACTTACTCAAAGACCATAGAAATGTTCGATACGATAGGAGTTTCGATAATCCAAATCAATAAGGCTTTGCAGATCCTTTGATATATCGAGATATGAAGTTTTGACCGTTTTGGAGCAACTATCGTATAAATAGACATTTCTGTGTTTGGGATTCCATACAATAATAAATGTTAAACGGAATAGAAATAGTTAGTATTATTTTTCTATTCAGGAATTATGAATATTTTAAGAGATTTGAAAAGATTACTACAGATTCATAGATGAGAAAATATTTCCCCAGAAAAGTGAAACGACATGAAAATCCATCTACACCGAAGATGGATTCCTGCAGATGATTTTTTTTATGTTGTGGAGAGTATAAAAGTCTGGAACAATCGAAGAAATTCATTCATTTCGAGCCAAATAAAACTGTTATCAGCTTGTGCATTTTATCTAAATAACTCTGATGGTCTGAAATGGTTTATTATCTTTAGAGCTATTTATGCAGATATGTTCGGATATTGCCAACAATAATATAACCAACAAGTTTGATAAATGTTCAGGAGGTTCAAGAGGAATGGGACAAAGGACGGGATAGCCTAGTAGAAGACGTAGAAGATTATATAGAACTTATATAAGTTCTTCTATAAGATTATAGAAGTATATATTTAGCAATTAAATCACAGGAAAATGCTCTCAAAAGGTATTTTCAATAATACAAATACAAGAAAAGAAAGAAATGAACAAATTTCCATTCGAAATTGTCCCTTAAAGGGGTATATCTTTTATGTATATATTTTATATAAACAGAAGACATAATTCTTTGACGACTTTGGCTTAGATTGATAGAAATAGCCTGTTTACGGTAAGGATTACGTGGGAGACGTAAGTGGTCTAGTGGGGGCAAATGGGGGGGGGGCGTCCTTTCGAATGCTTGTAGGAATATTCGAATAATTTTGCACATAGTAAAAAGGGTTCAAGTTCTCTCCTAAATTCTCCCAGAGTTTTCCGTTAATCCTAATTTCGGTTGAGCGTGAACTCACCTGTAGTTCCGATTCGGTGACATCAATCTCACCGCGGTAGACGAAGTCGATGATTGTTTTCAGATCTGTGAATATGATATCGGCGGGTAGGATGATTGTCGGATGTTTGCACGGGTTCTCGAGCAGAAGCTTTTGAAAGTACGTCGAGCAGGCGGAGAGGACGACCTGGAAAGGGTTGAAAGATTTATGTCACGGCATATCACGGAGGACGGGGACGGGACCTACCTTGTGTGCCTTGAGGGATCCGTGTTCGCAGGACAAGGTCACATCGACAAAGGAGAGATCTTCGCGCAGTTGCTGGAACACGGATGTCATCGTGTTCTGGTAGTTGTTCCATCGCAGGCTAAAGTACTGATGTCCTCGTACGGCAGCCATTTTGCTTGATTCTCTGATTACGTTCCTCCTCGGCTTTCTGTGTATTTTTGCTCCGGTTTGTCCCGTGGGTTCAATGCTTGTTTGCTCCTCAAGCTTCCTCTGTTGTTGTTGAGATGCTGCTGCTGTTGTGGCTCCAGTGACGTGTTCAACACGTCCAAGGCTCAGTGCTAATGCCGGTGCCGGCAGCCCAGCTGGAAAAACACGAGAACCGTCAGGAAAATGTCTATATGTATGCATGTATCTGGCTGGCTGCACAGCACACACCCACAATCCACTTTCATCAATCAATCTAGAAAAGAAAAGAATCTTCCGTTTCGACTTCGTTGCGGAATGAAGTTCCCGATGCAACTGAGACCAGGGACGACGACACACAACCACATGTTGAAGTTGCAAGATGAAGGAATCGTAGCCATTGTGTCCGGGGAGAGCCGAAGACAGGTAGGATGCCTTATCGATGGACGGCGGGGGGGGATATCTGATGGCCTGACGTCTATGGACTTATTAGATATTTATTTCGTTTTTGCACAAATTTCCTTGCAGTCGCAGCACCATCGTTGGGGCACCACACACTTTTGGGCGATTCAGAAAAGTTTCGGTTTTGCGCATTTTCATGTAAAAGGGCTGCGCCGCCAGGCTGGGGCCCGGGAAAAAGAAGAAAACCGAAACCAGTTTCAGTTCAACTTATTTTTTTCAATGGCACGTATTGGGGCCAGGCCAGGCCAGGCCAGTCCAGGCCTGGTCTGTAGTTTGTTGTGTTGTTGGGGCATTGTCGAAAATGTGGAATGTGCAAAGGATGCTGTGCTCCTCCAAGAGGCCCTGCACTGCCGCACAAGCCATACAAATAGAATTTAAGGGCAACGTGCAGCGGGGAGGGGCTCCTAGCCAGACCGAAGCCAAGTTCTCGCTGGAAATGGCAGGCAACCCATGGCGGGCCATAAAGTTCATCCAAAGCCATGCCACAAGAGGTAACTAAATGGGAAACCAAAGGGTTAAGCTGCAACCGCAATTCGGATCTGCTCTGTGGCAAGTTGCATGCCCGAAACAGTGCAATAACCGCAGGAGAGAGCCCAGAGTACATTAATTATAAGGTAGGATCAAGATAGTCGTTGTCCTGCTCTAGCATACGCATAATCCCTGCACCGCAGATCCACCTTTATTTCACATCAAACAAGTTGCCTTTGTCGCCTTTCTCTTTTCACCCACCCCCTGCCAACCGAAAGATGCGAAACCAAAACAAAACGGCGTCAGAAAAAATGTGAAAAGGAACAAGAAACGGTGTTGCCACCCACTCTCAAATTCTCTCTCTCTCCCTCTCTCTCTCTCTAATCAGCAATCGCGTATTACGCGGCCGATTTGTTGTTTGTTGTTTTGTTCCTGTTGCTATAGCTCCTCGCCTTTTATTTTTCTTCTTCTTGTACTACACCAATCGAAATTTCTTTACGGCGGCTCCCTGTTGCTCTTGCACACACACACACACGCACACATCCCACTGGCCGCCTCTTGGAGCCTCCTTCGGTTTCCTTCTGCTCCTTCTCCGGGCCGTTTATTTGGCAAATGGATATTGTGTGTGTGTGTGTGAGTGTCGTGTGTGTGCAGCCTTTTTCACTTTTCATTGCTCTTGAATATTTTTGCTCTTATCCCGTGGCACCCTCTACACACACACAGCCACACAGGTTCACGAGCGTCGGGCGGCGGCACCTTGGTCTCATCTCGTTCTCCGCTTAGGCCAATAGAACAATCATAACAACAGTCATTGCAATGTTGAAAACCAAGTCGAGCAATTGCAATTTTGTCTTGAGGCCCATATTTGTTTTGAATTTTGCTAGATAGATCAGCTGTGTGTTTAAACTATTTTTGAGCAAACGTAATAATGGCAAGGCACGCTATGCTAAAACGATAGACGCGATTGAAGATTGAACCGAAAAATAAATCGTGTACGTGTATAATTCTGAAAATAATATATTCGAATATTCGTATGAAAAAATCATATTTGACCCACTGTACCTGTTTCGGGCAACTTCGGTTTCGTTGCGTCTCTTTGGATATTAGTGCATGAGCAAGCGAGACAGCTGTTTGGTCGCTTGGCCGCTACGAAGAAGCAGCACAAGACAAATGACAGCGCGCTGCGGAATGAGTGAGTGAGAGGTGGTGTGGTGGGCGAGGACAGAGGACAGAGACAGAGGCGAAGAAAATGGATTTTAAACATTTTTGTTTTGATTATTATTGTTCTTGTTCGTCGCAAAACTTTGCGAAGCAGAATAGACGAAGAGAGTGGGTGAGTGAGAGAGCGAGCGCGCACGAGAGCGGGAATCGAATCAAAAGTGCAAGTGGCTTCTGGTGGTAGGGGACGGGGGCTGCGGCTGGGGGCGTCACAGTGCCCCCTCGGAGTGTATGTAAATGTAATGCTGAACAAATTTTATTTGCAATTGAATCCAATTGAAATTGTCCTCCTCTTCATTCAGTTTTTTCGTTACGTTTCACAAATATCTCGGCCTGCGCACTGCCCGCTTTGGCGAGCGCCAACTCTTATTTTTAGTTTTGTTGTTTCTGCTGCCGACTTACCTTTTCGCTATTTATATTTTTGCGTTTTGCGCTTATTTCGCTGCTGCTGCTGCTGCGGATTCTGCTACTGGTATTGCTGCAATGGGTGGGACGAGCTCATCGCTGCCGCCAGCGTTCAATTTGTTGCTCTTTTGCATAATTTGCGAGCGCACGCAATACGTCGACGGAATGCTGTGCTGCGTTGTGGGTGCTGTGGGTTTGCCGCCTTCTCGCTAACGTATTACGTAGTCCTAGTGCACGGCGATCGTAGTAGCTGTAGCTGTTGCTCACACACACACTCTAACACATACGTGTTTACCGCCAGTTCTTTTGGTTTATTAATTTTTCGTTTTATTTGTATTTCTACACGGTTATTGCTAACCTTTTTCTCTACGCTTCTATTCTACACTGTTCTTACTCGCTCACTCGCTCGCACTGACACTCACACACGCGCACGCACGCACCGACCGTCAGAGCGATTGGTTTTTCATAATTTGCAAACTTAATTTATTCTTTTTGGCTGGCCATGCTCATTGCACTTGCTGTTGTTGCACTTTGCTCGTTTCATTATTTGATTAGCTCCAGTTCCGAGTTCGCCTTCGTTTTCCGCACTTTTTCCGCAACGCACAGCCCAGAGAGGACAAGGAATTTCGGTGGCAAAACGGAATTTAAAACAATAATTATTTTTTCAGCTCGTCGTTCATCGCGCAGTGCTCGTGTTCGCCATTTTCGTAAGAGGCTGCCAGACTGCCGGAACACGGTTGCCTAGTCACATCATTTGATATTGATACTTTATTCATTTCCACACGTATTTTAATTGATTTATTGCCTCGTTAAGAGTTCATGTTTCACTTGAACACATTTTTAGTTAATCAAACACGATTATAAATCAAGCATTTATGTCGAGACTTGTCCGAGGTGGCAACGCTTTATCATTTCTCTTTTGCCTTCCATTTATGACACTGTTTGTCTCGCTCACACTTGCATGCAATTTCGCATGATATATGATAAAAAAAGGTAGGGCTAGTGCTGCCAGACCGTGCCGAGGCAGACAGCGCCACCTACAAAATCAGACTAGTATGACACTTTCGATAGGTGTCGCGTAATCGATAGTTTGGCGGTTCATTTTCGAATTCAAAATCTCTTCAAAGCAATGCTGATCAAAATAAATGTTCTTTTAACGCCATTTCGCACCTAAAAAGTGTCCAAATCCCCAAATGTGTGCCTGTGTGTGTGACAGCCAAAGTCTCCAGCAAAGTTATCTTTATGTATTTATAATTAGGAAATAAATATTCGCGACCAAAGTCGGCATTTGCATAATGAAGGCGAAACCATTCAAATGAGTTGCAGTTTTTCCCTAGCTGAATGCGCAAGTGAGTGGGCGGGTGGGCGTGGGTGTGGGTGCGGAAGTGGGAGGGAGTAATTGGCGGGTGACACCATAAACAAAACCAAAAAGAAAAAAACCGCTCGACTGAACGCCTATCCATCGATCGCGCATACAAAACGACTGCTTTACGGTTTTCACAAAGCGAAAGATACATACATAGATACATTCACATACATTTCGGATGCGTGGATTGGGGTAAAAGCGGGCTTACGTTACGTGCCCCGCCGGAGTCAGTCGCTCAAATGCAAGCTAATTGACATTCATGAGCCCCAAGGCCGAATACATTAAAATAATTGCATGTTCTAGTAGTGGCTCCACAAAACCAACCACAGACCCCCCCAATCGAGTTTTTCCATCATAATTTCCAGCATGATCGCCCCAATGCTGATGCCATTAAGCTCCCATTAGCTGCCGTGCACTCGGAAAAATCGATCGAATCGGGATGGTCATCCACCGGAGAGCCAGTGGGGGAGGGAGTCGAGTCCGTGCACCCCCGAGGTCGCTTCTGGAATTGATGTGGAAACAAAACATGCATATGTATGTGTATGTGTGAGAAATTAGGGAGGAGTTAATGTGGGTGGCGCATTCAACCTTGTCGTGTCACGAGGTGATGTGAGTGTAGCTCCACACTTGAGGTCGAAATAATAGGCACACTTCAACATATACATATCTGATCTGCCGTATCTTTTTATTGATTCATATCTATGAAAACTGCCTCTTCATTTCGTTCCAGACTCCACCCACCACCCATTCAGAGAGGCACAACAAAAGAAACACACAAAAGATCCCTCTCCCCCCACCCCACCGGCACAACGCCAGCAGCAGCAGCGATGCTGACATCGCCCACTCGGCTATGTTCGTGTCGTCGGCGCCTCGTTCCCATTAGTTTTTGGGATCGAAATTGGAGGGAGCGCGCTGCTTTGCTCCAAAAAAAAAAGCGCCTAATGCAAAGCCCAAGAGATAATGCGAGAGAAGAGAGCGAGCGCAGGCGGAGAGATGGAGAGCAGAGCGCAAAACCCAGCAATGAGAGGGTGACAGCATTAGATGGGTTCTCCCCACCCCACCCCCACCC